ACAGATACTTCTGCAAAATAAAAGTACGTGCAAACATGAAGCAGAACATTGCGCAATATGTGGCAAATACGATAATAAAATTCAAAGTTAAAATCTCGAGTTGTTCAGCGTAAATATTTCCCTGATACATAAATTTTGCAATTTGCACATATCAAACGAGTATTTGCTCTGCTCATGAAAATTTCAAAAAAATATTTCTATACTTTTATAAAACTGAATTTAAAAGCTTTAAATTCTATAAAAAGTTTGCAAAAAGATTTCTATATATGCATGGTTAGATTTTCTATTAAATATGGTAAAATAAAGCAGCATCTATTTATGTAAGATCTATATGCGCAAGAAGAATACACAAAAAGAATAATGTGATTATGTTAATATTTACCTGACATATCTTTTTGACGATCGCATCTACGTTATCAACATTTTTTAACCTCTCCTTAAGTAAACTACATTATTGATAGTGTTGATTAAAATTAAAGATAAAAATGCAATGTAGGTAGAATGTCGAGATAATCGAATATTAAATAATTCTAAAATAAATCCTTCAAACTTCGACACGTGGCAAGAATTGCATAGTATTACATCTCTTTGGTTCTTTACTCTTCAAATTGGGCGGAACAAAGTTAATACACAACTAAAATTCTGACTTAAGAACTCTTCAAATTGGAGATTAACACACGAACAATTAAATCGCGGATTATCATCATGCGGATCGAAGATTATTCGGTGAAGCAAATCAGCGTACGATTCAGCTGAATTTGTCTCTCAGAGATCCTCTAATTATTTACGGATATTTATCGAGTGGATGCGGATCAGTATTGAATATTGATCGATTAAAATGTTAGTTGACTGAAATAATTGACAAATCAGTCAATCGTCATATATAAAATCACGAATAACTTAACCAATTGTGTGTGTATGTGTGTGATTGAATCAACTATTAATAAAATTTGGATTGGATTTATTACACACTAACTAATAACTGAGTTCGTCAACTGATTAAATTATTCATGATCGCACATATGGCAATTGATTTATTGTGATTATTAATAGGCCGATTATTTTAGTCAAATAAAATTTTCATGAATCAATACCGGACACTAATGCAAATTCACAGTCATGACCAGATCGACCGATGCATCACACACTTAAAGTTACAATTCTCGACGAAAAGTTCGTAAGAACTAACACCTACGAATTAGCTATTTGCGCAAACATTATTCCGTTGTGAAACAATCGTTCAATAATTGTCAGCAGCGCGACGCGGCCAGCTACCGTTGCCGATACAAACCGAGGCGGAAACGTGAATTTCTGCCGGGTGCGTTAATCATCCGCCCGACCGAATACGATCCATCGCGCAATGGCCGTCAATCGGCCCGAAAATAGTAGTCGCCCAAAAATATCCAGTCCGTTAAGTGCATTATGACGTCGGCACGGTAGATTAGGCCAATGGCCTTCTATTATTAGTTGATCTATCGTCGTAGTTTCTCCTGCAAACAGTAGAATTTTAGACGACCGATCAACCGCCTGCCTTTCCTTACCCTTCGCGTTATCTGATCTACCAGGAACAACGAAAGGTTGCCTGTAGCGTGTCATCGCAATACAGGACAGTATACAACCAGAACGACTTCCAAAGAAATAATTATTTGCTTTAATATTCGTTTCTTGAAAAAAAATTTATTTGTGAAAAAGCGATGCGTGATTTTCTCTTTCAGCAAAATTTTTGCTGTGACTTACTTTTGGCTCACTTTTGTATTTTATATCATCTTTGACTTTAAAAGATAAAATGACGTTATATATGAGTTTCATATGAGGTCATATATGACTCCAGTGTTCTTTGAGTTTATTCTTTTCCTTCTGCGTATTAAAATTTGTAGGGGTAAATAAACAGCAGTTTAAAGGAAAAAAATGTTTATTATGTAGAAAATATTTCTTTAGTATTTAACTTCGACATAAACATGTCACAACGTTTCAATAGGTTGTACTGAAAAACATATATCTAATGAAGTCACCGTTTACCACACCTTGTCGTTCAGAGACAAAAAAAAAGTTCTACTTTAAAAATTCTAGACTAAAAATAAGAGGTTTTTACGGATTTCCAAGAAATAGATAATGGTATCAATATAAGATTTCGATTTGCTATTTATCGTTGTTTTAAGTATAAAAAATTATTTTAGAAAATTAAAATCCGTCCAAATTTTTTGTATTGAACGCTGGGTCTCTGGATGCTTCTACTTGGTAGACAACATTACAGCTCGTGTAACAATTTGAAACAAGTAGAATAAGAAAATTTTAAATTTACTGAAGGATGAATCTTTCATCCTTTCCAAAATCCTTTGGAAAATGTTCAAAATTAATATTTCTTCCAGAACACTAAATGAAAAAGAGAGAAAAAGGAGAAATATCTTGTGAACTTCAAAGTGCCGCCATTCTGTTTTTCGACATTCTGTATATAACAAAGATTCAGAAAATTTAATATGGTTTTCAAAATTTTTTTTTTCCATTTGTGTGTGTGTCAGATTATTACACGAGTTATAACTTTATTCATCAATTAAAAGCTACATCGCGTCTTGTATAAAAAGCTTGGACGACGAAATTTCGATGTTTTAAAATAACAAAATATTTTTATACTTAAAACAATAATAAATAATAATGGTTAAAACCCTTATACATTGATATCTTTATTCACTTTTTTTAAGAATTCGTATAAAAATCTTCTACTTTGTGTATATTTGGCTATTTAAATCAGAATCTTCCTTTAAGTATTGGGAGTACAAATTAGTTCGGTCCGTTTTTTTGTGGTCAAAAATGTATTTATTTCAGAACAAAATGAATGAACAGATTAATCAAAGTATTGTCCATCGCTGGCTACTACTTTTTCCCACCTCTCAGGTAATTTTCGAATTCCATCTCGAAAAAATGTCTCGTCTTTTGAGGCGATCCAAGTTAGGAGCCAATTTTCGATTTCTGCTAAAGAAGTGAACCGGTGACCTGCCAAATCGTCGGAACAACCAGTAATCAGAAGGAGCAATGTTCGGCGAATACGGCGGGTGCGGTAAAATATCCCACTTGAGCGTTTCCAAATAATTTTTTACGACTTTTGCGACATGAGGCCGAGCGTTATCATGCTGAAGAATAACTTTGTCATGTCTTTGCTCGTATTCCGGCCGTTTTTCTCGTAATGCACGGTTCAAACAAATCAACTCTCAATGATTCTGCAAGCTCCTCTTGCGTTTGACTCGGATCATCATCGAGTAATGCCTCCAATTCTTTGTCTTCGAATTTTTTTGGCTGTCCAGAGCGAGGCTTGTCTTCAACGCTGGAATCACCATTCTTGAAACGTCGAAACCATTCCCTACATGATTTATCAGTTGGAGTATTGTCACCATAAACTTCTACAAGCATTCGATGCGCTTCAGCTGCACTTTTCTTCTAATTAAAGCAGAAAACTAAAACCTCCCGCAAATGCTGCTTAGTTAACACAAAATTTGACATATTCAGCACAGTAAAAAACAGGGGTTTTGTATGAAACTCAAAGCGATATAAACTGAATATTATTGACAGATGTCTAACCTCTCTGAAACCACCGAAATCAGCTGTCACTATGAAACATTCATAACAGCCAGAGCCATCTTTTGAAAACGGACCGAACTAATTTGTACTCCCAATACTAAGGTAACGGTTCCAATTATGTATGAGTTAAGCAAATTTTAGGTCAAACTTGATCTATTAATGTATCAAAAAGCATATCATATAAGAACACACACGAGAAGAAGACTTCTTATAATATATAATAATATTCTTTAGTTCTTTTACAATTATATTCTAAGATTACAAACATTCACAAACATTATTAATATTGTTAATATTAAAAAAAATTAGATTACTTTTGCTTTACCGATTCTTGAGATTTATGAGACTGTCAATAAATTGTGCTATGTATATCTTATTATTACATTATTCTGTATAAAAAATAATGTGAATTCTATATAAAAAATTATTAATATTCAATTAGATATCGTATAATTCGTATTTAGAGATGCGAAATAATTTGCTGACCTACAACTTATGCATAAATTTTTTCAATTATTTTTTCAATATTTAGAATCAATTAATTTAAAGTCTAATAATTATACTTTAAAACTATAATGTTTGTTGCTTATATTGGTATTAACGCTTTGAATGATTAATGCTCGGAAAATTGTCGGAAATTGTCGGAAAATACATTAACGTTTCGAGCACACACATGGCGAAAACACTAAAAGTGTACATATACAAATTTACCAGCAATTTTTGCCAACTTAATAACTTAGCTCCGCGCGCGCGAATTGATCAATTTCAATTTTTTATTTTTTCAATAAAAAGAGAAGATCTCAAAAAGTTAACGATAATAATATAAGCCGATAAGAAAGTAATATAACAATAAAAAATTGATGTATATTTGAATGTGTTCCGAAAAAAGTCAGTTTTTAAAGAAATCAATCGTGTAAATTCACACCACAGTGTAGTGCGAAAAATTAAGTTCCTTTTTATTTAAATTATTGTATTTTTAAACTCATATAGCAAATACAAATCAGATATATTTTGTATTCTATTTTTCAAGATTATGTTCAAAGGAAATAGACAGAGCAATAAAACAAAAAAAGGAAATAAATTTAGATACAAAATTAATTTAGATATACTTATTTCAAAAAGCCGCTTTAGGAGAGAGGGAGGGATCGCACAATCGTTTTAGATTACCACTGAAGAGGTTAATAATTCCTTTTACTGTTCAGTCGATAAATTTATGTAAATAAATAAAAATTTCTCTCTAATCTTATATGACCCATAATTAATATCGTTATCTTATTCTGTGCGATTTTAGAGCGGTAGACGTTGTATCGAACTCGAATTTTGATAATTTCCGTGGTATCGCGTTGATTGTCGCTTCGCCTCGATATTGCAGTTGAGAACAATAGTACTCGACCGAACAAATTATCGAATGGTTAATTGCTTTTCAGATTCCACGCGGAAACTCCAGGATGTTCTGGTCGAATTTTGCGGGAGCAACACCACACCGGCTGGCGTGCCGAAATATCATCCGGATGGAGTGAGTCACAAAGATCGCTCCATATTTTAGTCATAGCTGATGGTATACGCGTATGCGCTCGTGCAAATGTATCTAAAATATGAGGGAGAACTATTTCTCTCTCTCTCTTTCTCTCTCTCTACACACAGATATATACATATATATTATATATATGTACATGTATATATATATGTATGTATGTACGTATAATCAAAATCCGTAGCGCAGGTGCTCTTCCGAAATAATATTTCGACTTTTGACTGATGTGTTTCTAGTCATCTTAGTACTTTTATACGCAGAATGACTAAAAGAATTGATTTATGTTTAAAAAAATATATAATTCCACTTGAAAAATTAGTGTTGACCTTGACAGGAGTTTTCAAAGTTATTTAAATGTCAAAAAAATTACTATCTTTATTTTTTCCTCGATATTCTACAACTTTTGTTGGAGACATTTTTTTTGAAAATGCACTCTTTTCGAAATATTATAATATCTAAGTTAAAATGAACATTCTGTGTATGTATATATATATATATATATATATATATATATATATATATATATATACATATATATTTATTTATTTATATTTTGACGCGTGTTTTATGAGAATTAAACATGAAATCTTTTCGGAATAACGTTTTATCGCGATTCTTCAACTCGATCATGATATCTTGTTAAGTAAACGTCTGTCTGTTTTCGAAAAAATATATACGCGTCCAACGACGCACAAACACGATTTTTTTATCGTTTGCTGTCCCCCAGGTGCACTTTAGCCTTTCTACAAAATGGAATCGAACGTTCCCGGAAGTGCACTCGAGCGACAAACATCTGCTTAAGGTGTGCACAACCCGTTTAAGCGAGTGTTTTCCGAGAATACGGCATTTACGTGGAAAACAATACGGCGAATGTGCCAGAGGTGTAACGGTCGAGCCGACATAAATAATGAAACTGGATTTTAATCGCACGTCGGGAACGAGCCCCGAGCACGATCTCGCGATTTTGCGTTTAATCAAACCGACCGGCTGCTCTCGCGGCCGATGAATTTTTCATCGCGGCCCATCGTGCCCGAGCGACGAGATTATTCTGCATTCTGGAAGAAAGCGGATCTCTCCGTCGCTTTAACTGTGTATACGCGCACGGAGTCAGATCGGTCATACGAACGCGCGCAGTTTATATCTCGGATGAGAGGTACAGAGGTAGAGACACACGCGCCACATTATAATACTGCGTCCACACAGTCAGCAGCAGCGGGGAGAGCATCCATCCGTTCCATAAAATCGCAAACTATTCCCGCTAGTATAACATCCGGAACACGTACGACCCTCGTGGACAGGTGGAAGTTATTGCGCGTTCGCGCTGCGTGTGCGACAGGGACGACTGTCGGGGTTGGAGCGAAAGAAAGAGACAAAGAGACTTTGTAAGACATTTTTTTCATACGATCACGCATTAAGGTAGTTATTTCCCAACTGTGGTAATCAAGATTTTAAATAAAAGATTCAACAACCGATGAATTCTTTTAAGTGAAAGTGAAAAACAGTTTTTAAATATTATTGGTTCTCTCAGAATAGTAAAAATCGATAAAATAAATGAAATGATAGAAAAAGAAACAGTAACAGTAAACGCTGAATTGCGTTTAGTCGCGGAACTATAGATCGTGGCAATGTCGCATCTCTATTAGCGCTATGCGACGCCAAACTGTACAACATTGCTACATCCGCAAAACATGGTCGCGAACGAAAAAGCAAAAGCCAAACTTATTTTTGCTAATTAATCATACTCTAATAAATTTCGCTGAGACTGAAATAGGTACTTCTGTAAGTATTCAATTAATTTTGCCCAAATTTTCGTAGTAATCCTTATTGTAGGTCATTTGCAACTGACAAATGCGCGTTTACGTTTACTTTTTGTACGTCAGCGCTATGTAAGATATCGAGAAAAAGAGTAAACTATAAGCGGTAATTTCTCGAAAACTATACGGTTAATTAAACTCATATTTAACACACGTACGTATTAATACCTAAATTAAGTTTGCTACAAGTGTCAAGAAGATCTGTGACTTCACTGTTTTTGACCTAACTACCTTAACGATCGATTTGAATTCCTCATGGCAAGCGCGCGTTGTTATAATAAATAGTATAAACTCGTATCTTGTTTAAAAATATCCTCTATTGCAAAATGGTGTGTATATATATATATACATACATTATATTATATTATTATATTATTATATAATATAATGTATATATACATTATATTATATGTATATATAAGGTCTACCGCATTATCTTTTAAGAACGGATTCCTGAGGTAATTTGAATAAAAAAATCCTAATGCAAAAATAGCGAGGCTATAATAGTTTTCAAATTATAAACGATTAAAGTTGACCAATTTTACTGGCTAAAATACGCGCGCTCAGATACGGTACAACACACAATAGTACAGGTGCATGCACATGTCGTCCCTTTTCCAAACATTGATACGGAAGTTCCATACATACAACAACGTATGTAATAATAATCTACCTTTTCTATCATTTAAATAAACATATCGCAAATAATAACAGTTTCGTTAAAGTGTCATGAATAAAATATTATATAATACATTTATGAGAGTCAATAAGCTATCACACATTTGACGTTTCTTTCAGAGATTTACAACTAATTTTATATCTTATGCAAATTCTCACTTATGTGCATGCACTTGTACCATTGTATGTTGTACCGTACCTGAGCGCGCGTACTTTAGCCAATATAATTGGTCAAC